TGAGGATACTTTGAGTTAAAAAATAAAATAAGTTAACTTTTCTTAGAGATTGTTTGCATGATCGCAGGCCCAATTCGACAACAAAACCACAGCAATAATGGGATTGTTCTTTGCTCTGACAACTCCGGCGGGAATAGCAATTGGAATGGGGATCAGTAATGTGTATGAAGAGAATAGTGAAACTGCTCTTATTGTCGAAGGCATATTTGACTCAGCATCGGCAGGAATCTTAATTTATATGGCACTTGTTGATTTCTTAGCTGCCGATTTCATGAGTGATAAAATGCTCAAAAACATTCGTCTTCTACTTGCAGCCAATATTTCTCTACTTTTAGGTGCTGCTTTGATGTCTCTCTTAGCCAAATGGGCTTGATGTATAGCTTGTTTGTTTCTTAGTGTAAATGTTAACTCCGTGTGAAAAAACTAATATTTTGTTGGTGTAAATTTTTTTTTTATTATGCATGGATATCCTTCTATTAACATGGGCATCTCTCTTAATAGAGATTAGAACATTAATTCGCCATGTTGTTGTGAGGGACTAACCTTAACCTTAAGCTCCATTGGTAATACTTTTTTCCTTTAAATTTAGTGTGTTTGATTGAGGAAAATCCATGAAAAGGAAATAAAAATGAATTTTTTCAATGAAATCATACTTTAGCTTTATAATTTTTATCATTATTTTAGGTGCTGGTCTCTTTTAGCCAAGTGGAACTTAAGTTAGATAATTAATACTCCTTTGATTCTATTAATAGGGCAGAAAGAAAAAACATTTTTTGGTCCTATTTATAGGATACTAAGACAAATTTTGTATATGGACGTACAATTTTACCCTTCATTTATTATTTTGTTGATTTTGTTTACATGAGGTATAATATATGCTAAATAAGGATAAAGTTGAAAAGTTATTGAATTTCAAATGAGAATTAATGAGGTTTAAAGTTTTTTTTTAGTTTGTGTGAAACATGTTGGAAATAAATTATAAATAGAACCAGAGGAGTATAAGAGTTAGATAATTAATCTAGGGATATTAAGAAAATTAGTTGAACTGGTTATATGTAACAAATATATGTTAACTTTTCTAAATTGTCATATTTAGTTATATACATTAAAATTACCCCTTAATAGAAACCTTACAATTAATAAGGATATTTTGAGAAAAAAGAATTATAAATCTGAGAGATTAATTTTTTATATTTAAGACTGAATATAAAATATTAAAAATGTTAAAAAATATAAGAAGTGGATCAGTGTCCACCCCGCTTTAAAATGTTCTTTATGAAAGATGTAAGGGAGAATTACCAACATGTCCCAAGAAGGAAGTTTAATTACCAAAAAGTTTAATGAACCTATTGTCATTTCATGTTCTGAAATTTGTCATTGCTTACCTTTTACTCATAAATAGACTTTAAAGTAATTAAATCTTTTTTTTAGAATCTGATTGTAATTCTCCCAGTATTGAATTGAAAGTTAAAATCTGAAAAAGGAAAAAGGAAAATTTTGTATATGGATGTACAATTTTACCCTTCATTTATTATTTTGTTGATTTTGTTTACATGAGGTATAATATATACTAAATAAGGATAAAGTTGAAAAGTTATTGAATTTCAAATGAGAGTTAATGAAGTTTAAGGTTTTTTTTAGTTTGTGTGAAACATATTGGAAATAACTTATAAATAGGATCAGAGGAGTATAAGAGTTAGATAATTAATCTAAAGATATTAAGAAAATTAGTTGAACTGGTTATATGTAACAAATATATGTTAACTTTTCTAAACTCTCATATTTAGTTATATGTATTAAAATTACCCCTTAATAGAAACCTTACAATTAATAAGGATATTTTGAGGGGGAAAAATTATAAATTTGAGAGATTAATTTTTGATATTTAAGACTGAATATAAAATATTAAAAATTGTTAAAAAATATAAGAAGTGGATCAGTGTCCACCCCGGCTTTAAAATGTTCTTTATGAAAGATGTAAGGGAGAATTACCAACATGTCCCAAGAAGGAAATTTAATTACCAAAAAGTTTAATAAACCTGTTGTCATTTCATATTCTGAAATTTGTCATTGCTTACCCTTCACTCATAAATAGACTTTAAAGTAATTAAATCCTTTTTTAAGGATCTGATTGTAATTCTCCTAGTATTTAATTGAAAGTTAAAATCTGAAAAAGGAAAAAGGAAGTGTATAATGAAGGTCCAATTACGTCCTCTGCTCTCGGGCCTGGCGCCCTGGCCTAATTAAGAATAGAAGAAAACGAAGATAGAATAATTGGTTGGGCCGAATATGTTACAGCCCGGCCCGATATTTTTTCAAAATTTGTTTTAGAATAATTACTGCAATCCCCAAAATTCCCTAATAATTGGCATGAATTCGCACCGAATTCTTTCTTTCACGGTGATTCTCTCCGTTGGATCCAGCGGCAGCGGGCCGTCGTACTTTGTAAGTTATCGGAGTCAACTCCTCCGTTCTTCGTCCTCCTTGGTCGACGGCTTCACGCGCCAGAGAAATTGACAGATTTGAGAGAGAACGAAAGGAGACACGAGAGAAATTGGAAAGGGAACCTCGAAATTTGTTTGTTGGTATGTAATCTCTTCTTCTTTGACGTTGTTTCTTATCTTGTTACTGTTTTGCGTTTCCCCTTTCTCATGACTCTATCTTCTTGTCTTTGCGTTTTCATCTGCTGTTACGCGAGAAAGTACTGATGCTCCCTCTCCTTGTCTCTGCTTTTCATCTGCTGTTATATATATATATAGATATATATATCGACCCATATTTGTTTTTGGTCATCATTTAAATATCTGATTCGGTTGCTATTCACAGCAATCATTAAATTTCGAAAATCATCATTTGTAGATTGGCAATGGGAAAGAATGAGTTTCTCACACCCAAGGCAATTGCTAATCGCATCAAAGCAAAGGGGCTACAGAAGCTTCGGTGGTACTGTCAGATGTGTCAGAAACAATGTCGAGATGAGAATGGGTTTAAGTGTCATTGCATGAGTGAAAGTCACCAGCGTCAAATGCAAATCTTTGGGCAGAACCCAGAACGGATAGTTGAGGGATACTCTGAAGAGTTTGAGAACACTTTTCTTGAGCACATGAAGCGCAGCCACCGATTCAGTCGTATAGCTGCCACAGTAGTTTACAATGAATACATTAATGATAGACATCACATTCATATGAATTCCACACGGTGGCTTACACTAACTGAGTTTGTCAAGTATTTGGGTCGGACTGGAAAGTGCAAGGTCGAAGAAACACCTAAGGGTTGGTTTATCACTTACATTGATAGAGATTCTGAGACTCTTTTCAAAGAGAGGATGAAGAATAAGAGAATAAAGTCTGACATGGCAGAAGAAGAGAAGCAAGAGAAGGAGATACAGAAACAAATAGAAAGAGCTGAGCAGTTAATGCAGCCATCTGCCACTGGATCTGATCAGCCTTCACAGGCTGAGGTTCCTAGAGAATTAAAAGTGGAAGATGGAACTAAGATTGGGTTTTCTCTTGGTTCATCAGCAAAACCTGTAACCAAGGAAAAATGGGGGGGACCGAAGGTTGTGTTCGATGAGGTTGAGGATGCCAAAAAGGAAGAAAGCAACCGTGGAGGCTCTTTGAAGAGGAAAGAAATTGGTGGTGGAAAATCAACATTGGACGAATTGATGCGGGAAGATGAGAAGAAAAGGGAGAAGATTAATAGAAAGGATTACTGGTTGCATGAGGGGATTGTTGTTAAAGTCATGAGCAAAGCTTTGGCTGATAAAGGGTATTACAGGCAAAAAGGTGTTGTGTTAAAGGTGATTGACAAGTATGTTGGGGAAATAGAAATGCTTGAAAGCAAGCATGTGCTTAGAGTTGATCAGGCGGAGCTTGAAACTGTGATTCCACAAGTTGGTAGTCTTGTCAAGATTGTAAATGGAGCTTATCGTGGATCTGCAGCAAGATTGTTAGGGGTTGATACGGATCACTTTTGTGCCAAGGTGCAGATAGAGAAAGGCCCTTATGATGGTAGAGTCCTGAAGGCAATGGAATACGAGGATATTTGCAAAATAGCCAATGAGTTTAATAGTAAATGTGATTCTCTTGTAAGGAAACATGTACTTTGCTTGAACAAATTTGTAATTTTTCACTCTGAAGAGTCCTAGTCATTTACGGACTTGTAATTTCTGTTATCGAAATGTGGGTTATCTTGACCATTTTAACTTCTTACTTGATCTGGACAAGATTTAAAAACTGCCATCTTCTCAAATTTGTAACAACTGAAGAATGCTTCCCAGGATAGATGGGATTTAGAGCTTAAGGAATGGTGGATATACTATTTGCATCGAAAATTGTGGCAATTGTTTTGTTGCTTGAATTTGTTTGTAAATTTTGGAAATTTGATCGTGACTTAGTTTATCATTGATATTACTATTTTTTGTATTTTAGTACCTTTTATTTTTAGTGATTCAACTTGTTGACTGTCCATATAATTCATGTATACAGCTTTATCCACATTTTAGAACTTAAAATTTGAGAAATTATCATATCCCAGCTATTGTATCATATCTCAAGACACAGAAGTGATTCATGTGCGTGCTTCATAGGTGACAAGTGATGGATGCTTTGACTTACTTGTACGATGCTTTAAATGTTTCTCTAATTTATTCTTGAGATTGGTTCCTCTATGACCCTACATGGGCATAAAAGTCCAATTAAAATGGTAAAAGATAAATATAAAAAAATAAAAATTAAATTACTTGGGGGAAAAACTCATTAACCGAATCCAAAGTTGAGCCATATTAACGGAATTGAAAATTAAGCCATGCAGGCCAAAGCTCAAGTGAACAGATTATCCATTTTGCCACACCAATTAGGTGGACAATGCTAAATCCAATTCAATTTTGGTTGAAGATAAAACCAAACCAAGCGTATAAACATTCCTCAAGTCTGTGCGCGTTGATGAGGCACTATTTTTACAATAACCTTTTGAAATGCAATTATTGCATGGCAAAATGATTACAACAAGATGAGCAACAAAAAATTCCTCCACGATAGTAAAAAAGAAGCAAGGAAGACATTTGATCTATTACAACCTGTAATAATCTACACTGTATTTATTATCTTCTCGTAAAAAGAATGCCAAAATCTGTTTCTGATTCAGCACATTCTTACAGAAAACCACACATTCTAATTAAAGAAGCTAGAGGAAGGTAAGCTTCTCCGATATCAGCGTTAATGCCGGTAATAGCTCAACATATCTGAAAATTTTCTTTCCCCAGGTACAACAGGAAGCATCCTTAAACATGGGACTGCAAACATGACTCAAGCTGAGCCGCCACGTACTCATTCCAAGCTATAATTAATGCAAACCAAGTTAGGCTACATCTCATTCCAAATGGATCCTTACAATTATATGCGAGAAAGTGACAAGTTTAATTAGGCAACTAAAATTTGTTCAGAATTGAAATTCACACAGAATGCAAACTGCATTTCATCCACTATATTTGCCTAAGCAAACATGCATGAAATGTTATGTGTTCCTATGGAATTTTTGGAGTCTTGTCGTTTAAATGAAACCAAAAAGGATGCAAAATATGCCTTTTGAATACATGAACTATGGTAAACTATGATGTACAAGCAATAGAAGATCCAACACTAGAAAAGCCACAGTGCATCAGACGAGCCAACGGTTGAAATTTCATCCACTAAATGATCAACTTTCACTCTAGTGATGCCAATTATGATGCGTGAATTAGGAGTTGTATTTCATCCTCCATGGTCCCATCACTCAACAGTCTTTGGGTTGAACCAACATATGGCAAATTGACTGAGATTGTTATTAAATCACTGTCTAGCACGAAATATTCTGGGAAAGGCCCAAAATTTCCATAAATGCAGTTGGTTAAAGTTGTAAGCCCTTATTTGAGTTTGACCATGGCCTTTCTGTTTAACAGAAGACCAAGTTATAGATTGACTAATTGAGTGCATTTCTAACGTGTTGCATGGACTAAAAATCCAAAGTATATGCGTCTGTGCTTATCTAAGGCTATAAGTCATCGCACTAAGATTTGCAATTTTGCATCATATAGAATTGTAAATGTGTCGAGTACTACCTATCATGTTCCTCCTCCCTCTCTTCAAGGATAACATAATTTGCCACAGAATCTTTTGGTGACCCTCCCGTGAGATCTTCACTTGCATGGCCTTTTTTAAGCTTCCAGTATCTGAAATTTAAAAAGAAATATTATAACTGAGGTGCACCAATATGACATTGGAAATCAAGTTAGTATATTTTATTGATTTGAGCAAGAATCCTAAAGTTCAATTGCATCGGTGTGCGTGATATAAACTTAAAATTCATGGATTTATTTATTTTGCATTTAGAGTTTGATAAAAAAAGAAAAAGGGAAAAATAGCTAAATAATACATCAAACCATAAAAGCAAAAGGCATTATGTTGAATCTATCCAAATGTCAAAGATCCATGTAAAACAAAAAATGCGGATACCCAATCCCACCCCCTCCCCCAAAAAAAAAAATAAAAATCAGCCACATAAACTTCAAACTTCTGGAATTTGAGCACACTCGAAAGTCTGTTGTAAATGAAAAAGCAACCATTTCCAGTATTTGAAACATGAAACAAGAGAATTGTCCCACTCTGGTGGTACAGCAGATTGCCATGCATTTTGAAAAACCAAAGTATTTTATAAGACCAGTACTGAATGCCCCAAAGTATCAGAGTATAAAATCAAAGGGGAGAAACAAGTACTTGGGCCACGTAACTTGTTGCTTCAAACATATAGATGCTGACGACTTACTTGTACCAATTGAATAAACTGACCCCAACCATAATAGTGATGAGACCATATCCTTTTAACCAAGTAAATTCATCATGAAAGTACAAGACCGCAACCTGGATACATGTAGCATGAAAACAGTAAGTCAGATGCTAGTAAATGTCAGATCAGAGATCGCAGGATGAGAATATATTTAAGTAAAAGAAATAAATATAATACACTTATGGAAATTATAGTACTTGATTGATTAATAACTGTATGATAGATGGCCCAAATACCCCTAGGTTTCTATGTTAATCACGTTATCAATCTCGCTTATGATAAATATCTGCAAGGCACATAAAGAAGGTTAAAACACCTAATTGAAACTCCAGATTTTGTTTATTTTCATTGACATTTGACAGCATATAGTAATTTTGTTCATATTTTCCTGATAGCTAAGATAACAGTTTTCAGTCTTCTTATCCAATAGGAAAGAGTAAAACAATGACGTGGATTATCACCTCATGAAGTGACATGCAAGAAAAATTCTAGAGTGAATTTAATCAATCCTGAAAGCATTTTACATGATGAGTAATAAATCTTTACTGATATCTTAATATCTATCACAAACTCTTGCATTTCTTGAAAAATAGCACAGCTATGAAGCCGCTGATATAATGGTTGGCGGGAGAGGGAAAAAAAAAAAAAAGAGCCACTGATGTTACGGTTCCATGAACGCTAGTGTCTTCACGTCATGTTTTACTCATGTCACAACTATTCCATGAACAATCATGTCTTACTCAGTACAGGTAGTACAGAAATAAAAGGACTAAAAACTATCGAGAAACAATGATTAATATTCACATCAAGAAATGGAAATCATAAAACAATAGTTAACTACCAAAATGGTGACAGCCTCCTTGACCACCCCTGCTACTGTGACAGTGACTGCACTAGTTACAGAGACAAGAATGTATTCAGTTAATACCTGCAGCAAGAACAAGATTTATATGTCTAAGGAAACAGACCAAATTTCACCGATATACAATTAAATTAAACAAGAGAGGTTATTAATGACAGATCAAATACATATTAGGTAAATTAAGCATATTAGCATGATAAAGGGCAAAATCCTACCATCAGAAAGGCCAGTGCCCCACCAAAAATCATCAGCAAGCAACTTCGACTGATATGCGATGGATTATCAAAGTA